GCCCTTGACGGGGGCAGCAGCCAGGGGGGGGGCCCTTCGGGGGGGTTTGCACCGCCGCGGGAGGGGCTCATGGGGTTTGAACGTAGAATGCCCCCGGGGCTCCCCCGGTTCGCTTGGGGGACAAACATTGAAGCCGCCGCGGTATCCCCGGGGAGCCCCCCCCGTTGCATGATCCCGTGGGCCACCGCCTGCCCCCCCCCCCCCCCCCTCGTCCTCCCTCCTTGCAGGTCTTCGACTTGGGAGGAGGCACGTTCGACGTCTCGATCGTCGACATCGGCGGCGACGGCGGCGGCGGGATCGTCGACTTGGTTCGCGTGGTTGCGACGGCCGGCGACCCGCGGCTCGGCGGCAACGACTGGGACGAGGCGGTCGCCGACTGGCTGGCGGGCGATGCAGCCGAGATGCAGCCGAGATGCAGCCGAGATGCAGCCGAGATGCAGCCGAGATGCAGCCGAGATGCAGCCGAGATGCAGCCGAGATGCTGTCGAGATGCAGCCGACATGCTGTCGAGATGTTGTCGAGCTTACGCCGAGCCTGAGCCGAGCTTGCGCCGAGGCGCAGGCGGCGCAGTTCCTCGCGGAGCACGGCGGCGCGGTGCGGCGTGGCCGCCTCTCTGGCTTCGCGCGGCGGCGGCTGCTCGACGCGGCGGAGGAGGCCAAGGTTGCTCTCTCGGCCGCCACGTCGGTCGAGGTGTGCGTGCCTCGGCTGCACGGCCCGCTCGGCCTCAACGTCACTCTCTCGCGCCGCAAGTTCGAGGCGACGCGCTACCGCCCGCCCGCGGCAAAGCGATGGCAGGTTCCGCGACGCGTCCGCGACACGCCGGCTCTAGGCCATCTGCCGGCCGCTGCTGCTGCGGCTGGTTCCCGCGATCCTCGACGTGGCGTCGACCGCCGGGGTGACCCTCTCGACCGATTTGGGCACCCTCGCCAAGGGCCGAGCTGTAGCCGAGACGCAGCCGAGATGCAGCCGAGATGTTGCGGCGGCACGGCACCCTCGCAACGGCCCCGGCCATTCTCTCCCCGCGCGCGCTGCGAGCGAATCTGGCGCACCCGCTGCCCGCTGCCTTACCGCCGACGGGCTGCCGACAAGGCGACCCCTCGCTCGCGCCGCAGCGCACCCGCCGCTGGCAGCGCCTCGTCTCGTGGCGCTGGCAGCGCGCCGGCCGCCGCGACGAGGAAGGGGCCGAGGCAGGCGCAGGCGCAGGCGCAGGCGCGGCCCCCGCTTCGGCGCCCATCGACCGGATCGTGCTCGTGGGCGGCGCGACGCGCATGCCGTGCATCGGCCGTTTTCTCCGCCGCATGACAGGTGCGGGTACAGAGCGGGACACACTCCTCCGACCACCTCGCGTCTGCTGTCTGATTCGCTTGCTGTCAGCCCCCCTCAGCCAGTTCCTTCTCCCCGCCGCAGGCCTCAAGGTCAAGCCGTCCCTCCAGCCCGAGGAGCGAGGGCGCGGCGCGGTCGGCGGCATGGCACGTATCCGAGCCTGAGCCGAGACTGGTCTGGGGCGTGTAGGAGGCTGTCGCCCTCGGCGCGGCCATACAGTCCGACATCCTCGCGGGCGGCAGCGACCTCGGCTTGCGCGTCATCAACCCCTTCTTCCAGGTGCCACCGCCGGCCACCGGCCGCAAGAAGGCGGCGGCGAAGAGCTAGACGGTTTGGGTCTCCACTCTCTGTGGTCCTCCAAAAATGTGCGCGCGTGTATGCCCATGTACGTGGGTCAGGGTCTGAGAGTCTGTCGTGCGCGGTTGATGTGCCGCTGCCCCCCCGCGGGGGGCGGGGAGAGCGGAGTTGGAGTTTAATGAAAATCCAAAAACACTCTCCGAACGGCACGGAGCGCTTCAAGAGCCTTTTCGTTCACCAGCCTGTGTGTAGTTTCAGCGCCTCGGGAAACACGGCTAACAAGGGTCAAGGGGGCGCACTGCAGAACCAGATATACGTCTGCAGTCTTCCCCCTGCACATGTGCAACACACTCACTCTTTTGTCTCTTCCAACCGCACACGGCCGCACATCGCACAATGATTTTTACGAATACCGTGGGAAACAGGGTGACAGAGATCAGAGAGGCTTGTGCCGACAGCCATGAACAAAGATTCTTGCCTGGCACGGGTTGCCTGTCAGAGCAGGTGTATATTATTTTTGCGTGGGGCGGACATCATGCCGGGGTAGGTAGGTAGGGTCTGGGCCCTCCCGTCGGGTTTTTCCCTCTCTTCACGCTGGAATTTTCACAGCAGAAAAAGAAATTTTCCCCGGAAATCACGATGTCAACCCTCCCCAAATGGGTGATCTGATGCTTGTAGGGCTTGAGAGTGGCCTGCCATGTCACAGGAAGGACTGTGGTTGCAGGATAGTACCACCAACCATCACTCTAGTTGGTATAGTACCCCACCTTCACCCATCCTGTGATTTCTTTTTTAGTTTCCCATAAGTAAGGTAGGTAGGTAGGTAGGTAGGTAGGGGCACCGCAGCGGCCGGTCAGGTTTTTCCAGAATTTCAGCATGATGTCCGCCCCACGCAAAAGTAAACGCCACCTGGTCAGAGAGCACTTGGAGCACTTGCTTGGAGTGCAGTTGGTAACCGCAATTGTAAACGCTCGGCACCGGGCACCGCCTCGGTATACAAAATGCGCCTGCGGGCGGACCCTTACAGATCACAGATCACAATTGTACAATTCTTGTCCGGGTGTCCAGACTAGTAGTCGAGCGCGTCGGAGAGGTGACACCGACCGTTGCGAGTTCGGTCCGATTCCACGTGGCAGAAATGCCCGATCCGTTCGAGCGCTGCGCGCCGTTCCAACCCTCCTCGTGCCTGTGCAGTGAGTTGCGGCTCAATACATCGTCCAAGGTCCCGCTTCCCGCCTGCCGCCCAACCGTAGCCTGCGGCCGAGCAGCAAGCAAGAGGTCCGTCTTTGGTGCCGCCGGCGCCGCTGGCAATGCAACGATTGCGATCCTGTACGGCTTCCAGCGGGAGAGGACGCGCAACAGCTTCACGCGCGCGCCACTCGCATCCTACCTCAAAGACATGACTCTGATCATGCGCCTCGTCCTCAGCCTGCGAGCTGTGGACACGGCACTGCCGATCCAACTGTTGGTAACTAGATGCGGAAACGGCGAAGATTACACACGACGAACTCGTGCTGTGCAGATAGCTCCGCCACCCGGTGTCCTACCAACGCGTGGCCACGTCGAGGCTGTATAGCTCTGCGTCTCACTGTCTCGAGCCTCTGTTGACCCCCCTAAGGCTGGTCTCGGGAGAGCGGCACCGTCGCTTCGAGGCGAGGCTCGCGGCGCGCGGAGTGAAAATTCGCGGCGTGAGCTCGCCCGCGCTACCCCGCTGGGCAAACGCCTGGCACTCTGGTAGCTTCAGCAAGCTTGCGGCGCTGGGCCTGTTGGGCTATGACCGGTAAGTGGGCCTTGCATCGCAGTGGCCACCAGCCGTGACAGCACCAACCAGCCCGAACCCGAACCCACAGTGTCATTGTCCTCGACGTGGACTGTGTCGTGCTGCGGAACATCGACCACTTGGCCTTCGCGCCCGCACCTGGCTTTGTGTATCGTCGCAAGCTCCGCGAGAAGTGCACATCGCGCGCCGGGCTCAAGTGAGCTCGTCCCAATGGATTACAGGTGTGAAGAGCGCCTCTTCATCGCATCTAACCGTGAGCAGGTGGGAGCTCAGCTCTGGTGTGATGGTGCTGCAGCCGGGCGCCACCGAGAGCAACCGTATGCTGCGGCTGATGCGCCAAAGGGCGGAGCAGAGGTGGCGGGCCCCTGGGCCCTTGGCTTCCTCTGGGTCACTCAGGGTGGCCCGATCCCTCCCAGGCACATTGTCGGCGACGGGGGTGACCAGTCCATCTGGCGCATCTTTTGGAGCCGCGTGTTCGAGCTGCCCGCGGCGTACAACGCGTACAAGACGGACGCGGTGCCCTCTTGGAGGCGCGTGAAGGGAGCAGAATCGTAGTTACGTCGCTCTTCACCCACCATGTGCGTATGACAGATCACGATCCGCGGAGTTAAGTGAGACTGACCGAGAGCAGGCACGACATCTTTGTGCTGCACGACATCTGGCCCGTCCGCTGGTGGGCCGGCTGGAGGGCAAAGGCTGGCGCAGAGCTCTTCGACCAGCTGCGGTCGCTCTCTCGGCAGGCGGCGGGCGAGTGGAATATGATGGAGCCTCGTGCGGCAGCCTCGGGCCCTAGTGCCGCAGCATCCCCTCCCCGCGCTGACTCTGCCGCTTCGAACGTCTCTCGAGGGCGGGTGTGCTACCGCAAGGACGTGATCAACGTGTGCGAGTTTGAGGACCAGTGGCAGGGCGAGGGCATGGCCATGGGCGAGGGATAGGCCATACGTGTGCGGTGTGTGTGTTTGTGTGTCGTGTGTGTGTGTCCTTCTCTCTCTCTCTCTCTCTCTCTCTCTCTCTCTCTCTCTCTCTCTCTCTGTGTGTGTGTGTGTGTGTGTGTGTGTGTGTGTGTGTGCCGTAATGTAAGTTTGTGTCGCTGTCGGTGGCGCGGCGCTGGCGGCAGGAAAAAAAGAGACCGAGGGCGCGAATGGTCCGACGACGGTACGTATTATGCATCGCTGCCACACACGTCTACTCCCACACCTCGTCGTCCTCCTCCATGCCGTCGTGGCTACTGTCGGCGCGCGCCGCGGCTGCTGCCGCCGCCGCGGCCGCCTCTGTCCCTGGCTTTGAATGAAGTGTCCCCGTCCCCGGCACTGATCGAAGTGCCGCAGCGCTGCAGTCAGCGCACTCTGCGCGCCAGCGCTCCAGCCGCTCGCGATGCGCCACCAGTAGACTCTCCTGCGCCTGCAGCTGCGCTGCGAGCGCCGCGTTGCTGGCGCTCAGCGCCGACGCGCCCTCGCCCTCGGGAAGGCTCCGCCGTTCGTCAGCGGCGCGAAGCGCGTCGCCGAGGCGCTGCACGTCAGAGTTGAAGGCTGCCTCGCACGCCTCGAGCTCGGCGGCATCGCGCCGCTCGACACACGCGGCGACCGAGGAGCGGATGTGCTCTGACAGCACAGCGGCCATTCCTGTAAATAAATAAATAGCGCACCCTTCTCCAGGGAGAGATGGGCGATGCAGGCTTGACCCCAGTTGGGCCACGGTGACTAGGTGTGAATGGGGGAGTTCGGTATTCACAGTCGTTTACACTGAGGGAGCAATGGCTTTTATTATTCGGGTTGCTTTGCCGTCATCATTCAGGGCGGCGTCCTACCATGGCGGCTCAAGTCAATTATTAATATTGCTGGTGTCCGCCGTGCGAGGCGCCGTTCCACTTCGGCGCCGCCGGTCTGGCGCGGTTTCCTATTTGCAATTATTGCACGCCGCGCCGCCGTTGGGCGAACTTATCGGCAGCAACTTATTGGCGCGGTTTTCGCGATGTCTCTCTTAGCTCTGGGTCGCAATGGGCGATCCCAGGCGGGAGCAGAGGCCAGTGGCCTCGATTCTCTGATGGGCTGGGCCTACACTACGATCGAGTTCACGTTATTCCTCTGGTCGATCGCCGTGGGCCTCGCTTATGACGGTCTTGCAGCCCTTCTCACTAGCCGGGTCTACCGTGCCGGGGCTGGGGCAGTCCTCCTCTACCTGCTGGGTACCACCCTGATTGAGCTGGTGACAAGCGGTGACGGGGGACCTGAGCTCCTCTTCTTCCTCAGGATGGCCGTCTTCGTCTACTGTGTCGGCTATCAGGTTCGCGCACTCTGTGACTACACCCCTGTCCGCGTCCTCCTCCTCCTCAGTGGAGGGTACCCCTTGTTCCGCCACGGGGCGGCGGCGATTGCCGAGCCGTTCCGCGACTACGCGGCGATGGGCCCTTATGCAGGTGTGCTCCTCACCTTCTCCGCCATCTACCTCGCCACGCGCTCCATGGGGCGGCACGTTGGCTACTTCATGGACACGTACATCAAGACGTACGTGCTTGAGACCCGGATCGATTCCCTGCTCCGCCGAGTCCGTGGAGGCGGTGCTCATGCTGACGAGCCTTCATGCGCCAGGATTCTTGACCGCCCCGCTTGTATTTCTTTTTCCGAGTCACCGAGGCACATCTCTTCCGCCTTCGTGCTCGCGCTCTTCGTCGGCTTCGCTTTCCAGTTTGGGTTTTGCCTCAGCTTTGGGAGTGCGAATTCCGCAATGTGTGCCATGTATTGCGTCCTCGCGATTGTAACATGCGGATATAACCAAACGACCCTGTTCACAACCGCAAGTTACTGCAGGCTTGACCCCAGTTGGGCCACGGTGACTAGGTGTGAATGGGGGAGTTCGGTATTCACAGTCGTTTACACTGAGGGAGCAATGGCTTTTATTATTCGGGTTGCTTTGCCGTCATCATTCAGGGCGGCGTCCTACCATGGCGGCTCAAGTCAATTATTAATATTGCTGGTGTCCGCCGTGCGAGGCGCCGTTCCACTTCGGCGCCGCCGGTCTGGCGCGGTTTCCTATTTGCAATTATTGCACGCCGCGCCGCCGTTGGGCGAACTTATCGGCAGCAACTTATTGGCGCGGTTTTCGCGATGTCTCTCTTAGCTCTGGGTCGCAATGGGCGATCCCAGGCGGGAGCAGAGGCCAGTGGCCTCGATTCTCTGATCCCACCCTCCTCCCATATCCCCTTCTTAGTTTCACGGAGAGGGTAGAGTGCGAATTCCGCAATGTGTGCCATGTATTGCGTCCTCGCGATTGTAACATGCGGATATAACCAAACGACCCTGTTCACAACCGCAAGTTACCGCACACGAACACAGAGGGACAGTGCGCACCCCGCCCCGCTCGCAGGGCGTGCAGCACACAGCGGCCATTCCTGAAAAGCGCACTCGCGTTTCTCTGTGCCTCTTGTGGTGCTAGTTCGTGCCAGTCTGCTGTGAGAGGGGCTTGTATTCGTAGAATTCTCCTTCCTCTGCCACCCGGCGGTCAAGGGCCCCGGCTGTCCAAAGCTGGCTGTCCAAAGGATATCCACCTGGAGAACCTCGAGAGAGAGAGGGCTGGCGTGGCAGGCGCTTGACGATGGACACCGCCTCCCTCATCGCGTCCGTCCTCTCCGCTGCGCGCGACTGCCTCGCTCACGCCCTCCTCTGGCTTCCCGAAGTCCATCCTGACCTCAGGGAGAAGCCGGAGGGGTTGGCGGTCGCTGGCGCCGCTCTCGTGCCGCTCCTCCTGCTCATCTCTTCGCTGCTTCCCACGCGTGCTCCGCGCAAGGCCAGCAGCGAGAGCGGCGGTGGCAACAACTGGAAGCGTGCTCGCGTCGTGAAGACCGTCGCGGCAACGCCGCTGCTGGGCCGCTCGCCCTCGCTGCCGCCGCCGACGGCTCTGCCAAGGCCGGTCGACCTCACGGGGTCCTGGGTCAATGTGTCGATCCGCGGCGACATGCACGCGTACATGGTCTCGATGGGCGCCCACTTCCTGGTTGGGTCCTCTAGATAAGCCCGCCGCCGTTTCTCTGCCTGGCGCCGGCCTGTCTGGGGCGTTCCCTTCGTTTGCACTGCGGGCGCCCCGAGCTCCTGTGACGGACGGCGGCGCCTGCCGCGTGTGCAGGTGCGGCAGGAGGCCAAGGCGCAAGAGTTTGGCGTCGGCAAGATGCGAAACGTCATCTCGCGGCTTGCCTCCAGCTGCGCAGGCTGCCTCGAGGAGAGGAGCTCTCTCTGAGCCGGGCTCTGGACCGCCGCACAGGCAAAGCAACCTCCACCTGCTCATCGAGATGAACTTCCCCTTCGTCCAGTCCATCGAGCTCGAGCTGGACGGGTGTGCCACAGAGAGGCTGCAGAGAGGCAGCAGAGAGGTTGTCCAACGCCCACGCGCCAACACCGCCCATACCGCCAACACCGCCTCGACGCTCTGCACGACCCGCCTCGGCGGGCCTGCGGTCCCTGAGCTGCGCACCTCGGAGGCGCTGCGCCCCCTCCGGATGACTCCTCCGAGACCCCGATCTGCAGGCGCGAGCGCGAGTACGGCACAGACCCCATATCTCCCCATATCTCCCCCATATCTCCCCATATCTCAGGCGCGAGCGCGAGTACGGCACAGACCCCATATCTCCCCATATCTCCCCCATATCTCCCCATATCTCAGGCGCGAGCGCGAGTACGGCACAGACCCCATATCTCCCCATATCTCCCCCATATCTCCCCATATCTCAGGCGCGAGCGCGAGTACGGCACAGATCCGTTCGGACGCTCGCTTCGCTACTGCGCCCGCTGGGAGGGGGCCGAGCTGGTGTCCACCACCCCCCGGGCACCTCGCAGACACCTCGCAGACACCTAACGGACACTTCAGAAGACACATCGCAGACACTTCGCAGACACTTCCTCGCCGCGCTGCGACCGGGGCACCTTGCAGCACACCACAGCCCTGGCACCTTGCAGCAGCCTCTCGAGTCCTACACATCCCCCCCCCCCCCCCCCCCGGGGACCCGAGTCTCGGAGGCGAGTACCGCCCTTGGAGCGGTGCCCCTGGGGGAGGCTCCCGGGGGCGGGGTTCGGCTTTGACCGGGCCCGGCCACCTCCCTCCCTGCCTCCTTCCCTCCTTCCGAGGCCCTTTTTTGGGGCAGGTCGCCTACCGGGGGGGAGTGTTTTTCTGGAAGGGGGCGTTGGAGGGCAAGCCCCCCTTGGGGGGGCCCCTTTATGATTGGGGGAGGCGCAGCCCAGACGCAGCCGAGAGGACCCCGGGAGGCCCCCGAGAGTTGAACCCCACGGGGAGGGCCGGGTCCTTTGGCCCCCACCACGGACCGGCCAGGCGGGGGAAAACGGCTTTCTTCCCCCCCCCCCCCCCTTGCCTGCTGGGGCCAGCCGCGCCGCTGCGTGCTGCCCCCCCCCCCCTCCGGCCCAGCGCTCTTTGCCACCCCTCGGCCCTCCACCCACCAGGCGGGCACGCGCGTCACCCGCGTCTTTGCGCGCGAGCAGCCGGGGACGCGCGCGCTGCGGTATTGACGCCGAAAGGTATTGACGCCGAAAGGTATTGACGCCGAAAGGTATTGACGCCGAAAGGTATTGACGCCGAAACGACCGCGCAGCCTTGTTTGGGCGCCTGCTGCCGGACGGCGGGTTTCGCGCAGCATTGGTCAATGCGACTTGCGCTACTGGAGCGGCGGAGCCACCCTCAGAGTGAGCGTTGTACCGGCGGAGGGGGATGCACGGGCGGGCCGTGCCGCGCGCGTGCGCGGTGCTGCGGTGTGTGTATACGTTCACCAGATGTACGACAGTACGAGTCGGTGCGCGGGCAGCGAGCTTTCGGATTCGGTGCCATTTATTTACTCGAGCCCCGGTCAGCGCGCGTCTGTAGTTTGCGACTCTGGTACTTGGCACACCGATTCTGAAGACTCGAAACCCGTAGGAGAGAGACACACGCATGCGAAAACGGATGGGGAGAGGGAGAGAGTGGATAATAGCGGGGCAGACACACGTGGACCCTCGATGGGACACACACTGCACTGCTACGCAGATAGGCGAGCGCGGCCCAGCAGGTGTGGCAGCCAGGGGCTTCACTCAGACAGAATAAGGGCGCGGCTCACCACAGCCGCGGCGACGAGAGGGAGCGGATCTTGCTGCTGAGACGACGGAGGCGCGAACTCCGCGAGGGGCCTGGAGAGCTCTCCGCGCGCTCGGACAGCTCGGACTCTGTCGAGTCCTCTGCGGGCTCGGACTCTCCCAGAGATTCTCCGGATGAAGCCGACCGCAGGCCCGACTCCAGGTCGTCCAGCTCCATCGCTGATGCCCTCAACGCGCTCCGCTCCGCTGGGGCTGCCGGGCTCGACTCCACGCCCATCATCACGTCCGCCAGCCGGTCAACGATTCTGTCGACCATATGACCACGTTGAGCGCGTCTCACAGGTTCTACACACTTGTGCAAGGTCACACGCCGTCCTGCCTTGCACCTTGAGCTTTGAAGTAACGCTTCGCCCTTTTCTTCTTTCTCATCTGCCAGTCGTTTTGTCCTCAACCCAGCCCTAGCTTGGGATGTCCGTTTTATTTATTCTGCCTGGAGCCACACCTGGAACTTGCCGTGGTGCTCGGCGTCGTTTGTGTAGTCCTTGCGTTGCGGCATCGATGCGACCGACAAAGAGCCCGCTGGGGTCTCCCTTGCGATTGCCTCGGTGCCCCGCCAGCGTGCTTTTGTCATCATGCTGTCGTGCCTCTCCGCAGCCGCCGCGCTACCGCGGCCTCCGCCGCGGAAGGTGGCCCGCGCCTTCGCGAATCCCGTCTTGCGGCTTTTGCCGGATGCCCACCGCTTGGCCTCATTGCGGGGGCGGACACCGGGCCGTGCCGTGGCCGCCCCCGTAGCTCGCGAAGCTGCGAACCGGGCTGCGTCCACTGCGCCGCGCCGGCGCGCCGCGACCGTCGGCCCCCGGACTCGGTTCTTCGCGGCCTGCGCCGGAGAGTTGGCGGTCCTGCGCTGGGTGGTGATCGTCATCTGTCTGCTCTGCTCTGCTTCTCGCTCGTGCGTCCTTGGACTTGTGCTGACCTCCTTTCACCTCCTGCTCTCCTATGCCACGTGGCTGTGTGTGTTTGGGTTTCTATGTTTGCGATTTGGATTTTGGATTTTCCATTGCACTTTGTTTATTTATTTATCGCAGTTGTCGGGCTTGAAGGAAGCAGAGTTGTTTGTGTTGTGAAGCATATCAAGAAAAAAGAGATGAGCGCGAGAGATCGCAACTCTCCCCGCTCTTCCTCTCCTCGCACGAAAGAAAGAAAACAGACCGCGCGAGGGATGGGAGGACGGCACACGCCGCCTCTCTCACCACCGCGTCATCTGTGTGCTACATGTGCGTCTTCCAGAGAGAGAGAGAGCCGCGCCAGAAGCCACTTGCCCAGAACTTAGGCGAGCGAGTCGAATGCGAGTCGGTACGCGATCCATCCGCCCGAGACAAGTCTTTGCGTGTATGACTCTCGCGCCATGCTCAACCCGCACGATGCCGCTGGAGCACAGTTTCCCAGCAGCGGCGAGGTGACTGGCAATGCCCACCACCCAACCGGGCCCGCCTTTTACCTCCAAGAGCACGGCGGCTTTGACTTTGCGAATGTGGCCGAGGGCCTCCGTGAACGCGGCCAGTCGGCAGATGACGCACTGCACGTGGGCACCACAGTTGAGCTGAATTTGCTGCCCGCGCTGTCTGCGCACCCGCTGCGAACGCTCGACCCCGCCAGCGCGCAGGTGCACGTGCTGGCGGCGCTGCCCTTTGCCTCACACGTCCTCTCACTGGCTGAGGGCGACCCAAGCTCCCACGTGCGGCGGATGATGGCTTTTGCGTATGAGCTGCGAAAGAGCCGCGCGTTCGTTGAGCATCAGATTCCGTTTGTCCTTATATACCCGCACTCGAACCCCACGCTGATGGGAAACGAGGCTCTGGCCGCACTCTCCCTCGGCAGCCTCATCGTGGCCACCTCGGATCCGGTCTTTGCCCGTCCGACCCGGCACGAGCTCGCTTCTGCAGAATTCCATCAAGCATATCGAAGGGGAATCACGATACCCTACCTTGGGTCACGCAATCAGGCGGCGGCGGTTGGCAGGAAGAGAGCAGGCCCCGTGGGAAACGACGCGTGGGATAAGTTTCAGCGGCGCTTTGGCTACAAAGCTAACCCGACTGGCATAGCGACAGCCCTGCTGCGTGAGCTGGGCGTGCGCCTACCTTCATGCCACGCACCAGCTAATGGTGGCCTTCCCACCAGGCACCGCAGCTTGTGCCCCTATAATCCGGCAGCTGGCGGCCAGGCGAGCCGGAGGCTGTCCTTGTCCAGCGGCGCCGCCGGCCTACGGGCGCGCATCAGCAGCCTCGGCCGCACGAACGGATCGGTCAACGAAAGAAGGAGTCGACGTGCAAGCGCGGCCTCTCCTCGCCGTTCCCTACCCTCCCAGCCGGCACCGCTGCCAGTGCGCCACGCGGTGCCGACGCAGGCCGTCGCGCGGGTCGCGACCGTGCATCGGCGGCTGGCGCTCGCGGTGGAGATGGGCGCGCAGATTGGGTGGTCTTTGCTGCTGCTCTCCCTTCTGCTCATCGTACCAATCGCATGGGCCATCCTCTCCCCGCCCCGGGACGACTACGACGAGCCGCCCGCACCCACAGACGGTAACGAGGAGCCAACTTCCCCACGATCGCCCCTTTTCAGAGCCAAAGAGACACGATCCGACGAGACAAAATCGTGAGGTTGCGCTCCTCCAGCGTGGTCTCCACTTGGCGGGCTTTATATCAATCAACTCGGGGTCACGCATGCTCCGAGAGAGATACTGTGCCTGTGTAGCGCCGCGCGCTGTGAGCTCTGTGAGCTCTGTGAGCACCAGCATTTTTTCTTGTTTTCCTGTGTGCGTACCGGTTACAAGACAAAAAGAGGAGAACACACGGCAGAGAACATGGCTGTCTTTTCCTCCATTCGCCAGCATGCCCACCTCTCGCCATCTACGGCAGCCTCAGGCGGCTCAGCGGCGTAAGCACTCGCAACCCTCGTCGCCAGCCGCCTTGACGGCCACGGGGCGGCTCGGCGGCAGCGCCGGCGGAGATCACATTCAGGAGGGACACGGGAAAGACCAACATTACGAGCACGAGCAACAGCAGGCGAGCAACGATCATGGTCAGACGCCGCTGTGGCTTGAGCGGGCACGGTTCCAGTGCGTCGTCCCTCATTGTGACCACCCCGCCCGCGAGGGCGCTGACAGCAGAGCCGCGCTGCTCATCCTCTTCCGCCTGCAAGAGCGAGGCGGAGTTGGTTCGCCTCCGCTTGATGCCGGCGCTAGTCGAAGTAGATGCCGGCGCTAGTCGGAGTAGCTGCCTCCTAGCGTCGCTCAGCCACGGCGGCTCATCTCCTGCCATCACATCATTGCTCGCCACTTGCTCTTCGTCCGGCTCGTACGGCTCATAAGGCTCGTACGGCTCATAAGGCTCGTACGGCCCCCCGTCGTACACTGCGGCGCCGCTCATAGCCATCGAGCTAAGGAGAGCAAGCTCATAGCCAGCTGAGCCATCCCGTTCCTCCACAAACGCCTCGTCCTGATCGTCCCTCTCTTGAGCTGCCGCGATCTCCTCCTCTTCCCAAACCTCAGATGTCACAAACGCATGAGGGGGGAGCAAGCTCAGCAGACGAGCGAGCTCCCCTCGCCGCTGCTCTGGTCGATCTATTGGTGGGGATGCAGGGCGAGAAGGCGACGTCGACGTGGCGCGAGAGTTTGAACGTGACGAGGCTTCCGCGACAGACGCATGAGACCGTCGAACCCAGTCGCCAGAAGTAAGCGCGCGACGCATAAATACTGCGATTGCTGCTGCTGGAGTAAGCGCGCGTCAGTTCGCGCCTCCCTCACCAGGGTAGTATTTGGGGGCGCGGTCAAAGTTTTCATTCAGTTAATCGCTTTCATAATGAACGCGAAGAGGCGCGTCCTCCTAGCGTCCTCCCGAACGGCTCCAATTCAAGCGACAGGCCCTCGCCTCTTCAGTCGCCACGCGCCACCGTAACTAGGAGAGCAGTACTCGTTTGGCACCTGTGGTGGGGTAGGACACACCGGCGCACGTCGGCAGGGGAGGAGTGTGTGAGGATGAATGAGTCTCTTGGTCCCCGGCCGATCCGTGGGTGGGCTGTGGCGCCACCCCGTGGCGTGTGGCGCATCTACTTGCAAGCCAGCGTAGAGAAGGGGAGAGTGCGCCCCAGTGAGGCCGCCACAGTGCGGATCATCTGTGGTACCCCTGAGTTTATCGATCCGCGCAGCTCCGCGGCAAAAGCAGCAACGAACATCTCGACTACAAAGGTTTCGAGCGCGTGCCATTCGCCGTTTATCACGTCGGACCGGTAGTCCCCCCGGTAGTGCTCACGCGTCGTCCGGGAGGATGTGTTTATGGCCACACGAACATAGCTGCGCAAATCCTGTGATACCCTCCCAGGCGCTAGGAGCAGAGGTTCACGGCCAAAGCTCTGGAGGGCGAGCAGAAGCGACTCATTGACCATGGGTGCAGACTCACGCCACCGCGGGTGCTCACGCCCACGCACGTGCACAGCACTCCGATTGGCGACCGGCGAGAGGGCGCCGAGCTGCCGGCTGATTTCGCTCGATAGCCTGGGCTGCGGTTTGAACCATTGACGAAGGGTGGCGCCAAGCCCCAACGAGAAGGTTCTCTCCGCCGGAGGCGAGACTTTGCTCCGCTCGAGCACATCAAACGCAGTGTTCCCGTAGTTGCAGGTGCGGTTGGGCAAGCCCGTGTACACCATTGTGAGGCTGGTCGCGCCGTGGCGCTTGCGAATCTGAAAGAGGCGGTCCAGCGGAAGGAAGCCAACCTCATTGTTCAAGGGCCAAAGGCACACCACGCTAAGATTACGCTCAGTTGCAGCGTAGAGGGCCGGGAGGAGGAGGCGAAAGCGGTCCGAGAGGCCGGTCGGCGAACACACAGCAATGGTGCGTGCTTGCCAGTCCAGGTCAAGCATTTACTGCGATGGGAGACCGGATGAATGAAGGCGCCTCCCACTAAGTCGCGTCGCTCGCGCACGGAGAGCAGCCGGGCGGCAATAATAGGAGGCAGCGCCGCCCCGGCGAACCAACACCAAGGCGCGCGCGTGACGAGAACCCCTGGGGTGTCGACGGGCCCCCGGGGGCGACGGGGGTGCTCTCCGGCCGCGGCGGCCGAAAACGGGGGTCGGTATATACGGTATTAATGAAGTGATGCACTTGATGCAAGGGTGCCATTGTGCTCTACTACAAAAGTTGTGTAAGATGCCCAAGTCTCAGACGCTGGATCCTTAGCGGAGCTGAGTTCTGACGGTGTGAACACGAGCAACCGGAGTGACGACCGGGACTGGGCCGTACGCCGGGAGTGCCCCGACTAGCAGTGACGGGCGCGGACGAGCGAATGAGAGGTCGCTATCTGTGGAAGATGTGTTGTTAGGGACTAGGACTGCCTATCTCTCACTGAAAGGGACCTCTCATTCGCTCGTCCGCACCCGTCACCGCTCACGGAGTGCTCCGCGTGCCGCACCGGCCGCCGCCGGCCGCCGGCCGCTCACGGTAACGGAACAGTGTTACTACTCCGCAACGTTGAGCTGGATCAAACTGAATAGTGCTCCTGAAAGCCCTCTCTCTGGGCTCTGCCACACAGTAGCAGCTCATGACGAGCAGCTGCTGTGACTGTATTTGTAGCCATTTTTAGGCTTCAACTGGTCCCAAAATAGTAGCAACACCTCATGAAAATCAGTCAAAAAAGCCCCAAAAAATCGGCGCCTGCGGCGGGCTACCTGGGGCTGCGCCCCAGACCCCCTTGACTGGGGGGACCCCCCGCGAGAGCACCCCCGTCGCCCCCGGGGGCCCGTCGACACCCCAGGCGAGAACCCAGAGACGGTGTGGCTAAGTTACATGACACAAAACAAATCATCGTCGTTGGCATCCCTCCCTTCTTCTCTGTCGGGCGCCGTCGCAGAACGAGGCAGAGGAGAGCGATGAGAAGAGGGCGACGGGGCAGGAGAGAGAACGACGAGTCTTGATCTGCTAACAACAAACCCTAGAGACGAGAGAGAGTGGGACGACCGCGAGGCATGAAGGTTGGCGAGAATCGGCACAGGCTGCGACGAGAGATCGGGCTAAATGTAAAAGAAAAAAGAAAGAAGGACAACCCAAGGGAGGGATGGGAGGCTAAATGTATATCCGTAAAATCCCCCTGAGTGCAATTTTTTTCTGCGCTGTGTCGTCCCTGTGTATGCCTGTTGCCCGTCCACGGAAGTACACACGACGACCTAGGAGGTGCCCTCGATATATGAGCCGATGTCCTCCTTCTCCTCACCGGCCGGCCGTCGCGACGCGGAGCACAGGAGGGCATTCTCGGTCACCGCGGCGCACCTACTCACGGAGGAGTTTGTCGCTCTCAGCTCCGAGGCGGAGCTGCAGCGAACGGGCTTCACGCTGCGAGACCGGGACTCGAGCAGTGAGCACCTTCGGATCCACTCCCTGGTCGAGCTCGAGTTCAAGCGGAACTACATCACTCCGGGCGGCAACCAGCTCCGGCGCGTGGCGAGGGATAAGGCCGTGCTAGGTCCAAATAAGATCGAGCTCCCGATCAACGCTCAGGGAGACCTGAGCGGCCGCTGCTCGCCGGGAGTGCGCCCCGAGTCTGACAACAACAACAAGCCGCCAGCGGCGGCCGTCGTCCGGCCTCCCCGCCGCGCCACGAGCAGCGGCGTCGGGCCTCCTCCGCTGGCGATGCAGCGGAGCGCGGCAGCCTCCACGATGATGCCAGCCATGGCGGAGGAGGGGCCGGCGGCGCGTGGGATCCCTCCGATCAAGCCCGAGGAGCTGCGGACGTACCGCCTCTTCTTCAGCTCCCTCGCCGCCGCGATCCAGAGCGATACGATTGGCCGCGCGCAAGCGGAGCCCGTCCTCGCCAACACTCAGCTGCCGCGCGACGAGGTCGACTACATCTGGTCCATCTGCGACGGCGACGGGGACGGCGCCATTTCCGCGGACAGCTCGCCGAGAGCTGTGAATCGCTGCTCAAGAGACGGATGATTATGATAGGCCGCCTCCGGGCGGACGAGCTTGCAATCGCGCTGCACATCGCCGCCGCCCGCTTCGGAGGGTTGCCCCTCCCCCAGCCGCGGCCCGTCGAGCAGTTTGTGCTCGCGCTTTTCCCGCCGTCGGAGAGGGCGAGCGCCGCCGCCACGATCGCCGCAGGGAGCGAGCGATTGCGAGGCGGCGGCGAGGGCGGCGGCGAGGGCGGCGGCGAGGGCGGCGGAGGCGAGGCGGGTCCGTCGCGCCGCGGCTCTTTCGACTCTCAGGCGAGCCTGGCGGAGCGAGGCGAGACGAGCAGAGGCGCGAGCGGGCCCGGCAGCAGGCGGGTGAGCGGGTCCGCGTCTCCGCGGTCCGGCCACCGCCGCAACGCCAGCTACGGCAGCGGCGGCGCCGGTCCGGGCTGCCGCGGGGACGACTGGCTCGTCCCGTCGCTGCCTCCCACGCCGGCGGAGCTCGACGCCGTGTCGGGCATGGCACTGGCCGACGAGGCTGGCACGCCGCTCGCCAACGCGCTCTACTACGTCAGGCTGCTCACGGCGGAGCCGACGTGGGAGGACCTGTCCGGCCTCGAGCGGACCCTCGTGCGACTGCCCACCGACTCGGACGAGTGGCTGCACAGCTTCCTCGAGCTCGACGGGCTGCAGGGCCTCCTCGACGTGCTCTCGCACTCGCTGCAAAAGGCGAGCCGGCCGAGACACGGCGGCCGACCGCTCATTCGAACGGGTTCCATGACCGCTCGTTGCGGTGGCTAGGCGACCACGACGGCCGACGACACAACGCCAGACGACTTGCGCGTGCAGGGCCGCTGCATAGCTTGCGTCGCGCTGCTCGCTTGCCGCCGCGTCGCCCTCACCAGGCTGCTCGAGGAGAAGGGCGCCGTCAACATCATCGTTGGTGCCGTCGACGTGCGGTCGCGCCGCGTGCAGCAGCAGGTCCTGCAGGTCCTCCTCCGCATCGTGTACCAGCCCGCGGGCACGCGGCT